AGGAAAGGTATACAAGTATGAAAACAAATCATAATACAATAATATTAAATATATTTAATATATTTAACACCCGGTCCGGAGGGTGGCTTCCCAGGCGGCCAGATCATCAGTCTCCCTGGGCTTGACCTGGAGTTCCATTCTTTTTCCCCAAGCATTTAGGGCAAATGGAAAAGAGCCCGGGGGGAATTTGATAGAGACATACTTATCCTGCCAACTCTTGTTGGAAGGAGGAAGGCCGGAAAGGAATGCACGGCCCTGATTAGAGGACACAACCACGAATCTAAGGGTTTCCTTGGACCCGGGCCGGACATCGAACATATGATCAAAGAGACGGAGTCAGAGGGGGATGCGGAAGAAACGACAGACGTTGATAAAACTACCGAGCATAAAGTGACCATTAGGGGCTAGTTGTCCGGGCATGATCCCGTATGTCTCAAAGAAAAGGACCTTGAAAGGGTGAATAGAGAACTCACCTAGGTCCTTGATATAATGGTAATGGATACTAGACCTGGCAAAACGGTCGGTCAGGTCAGGTTCCGGTTCAGTATAATCAGGTTCGGGTTCGGGTCTAAGAGTGCTTATTCATGACCCAGAGTTATCGGGTTCGGGTTAACCCAACGGGTTAAGAGACGTATTTAAAAATTAAAAATTTTGTTATTTAGAGATCATGTGATCCGAGCATTATTCAAAACAAAGAATGAAATCATATTAGAACTGCAAACTTTTATGATTTCATTCTTTGTTTTGAATAATGCTCGGATCACATGATCTCTAAATAGCAAAATTCATAAAAATAATACTCCCTCCGTCCCCAATTTGATTACAAATTGCGGGTTACGGAGTGAAATTTCCTATTTTTTGAAATCATTTTATTTACAAATTAGTATATCAATAAGATATAAAAATTACATATTAAAAAACTACGTCAAAAGTTCTACAAAACAAGAGGTGACAAGAATATTTTATTTTATCAAGTACTTAATAAAATCGCGTAAACAAACAAAATTTATCGAGAGAAGAGAGAAAAAACAATTGTAATATATTTAGGGACGGAAGAAGTATACACTTAAGATGCACCATGGAAGTACTCAAATGTGAGTTTAACTTTGGAAATAGGTTAGAAGGTATGTGTTCACGATTTAAAGATTTATAAAAGAGTAAATTTTCAAAATTGTTCTTTGTAATAATGTATTATTCCAATTTAGTCTTCAATATATTCTAATTACCTACATGGTCATTTATAATTGAGATTTTAATCCTCAAGTAGTCCTTCGTAAATAATGCTACTAAAATTATGATTAATTAAAGGGTATTTTAGTATTTCTATTATCTAAATTTAAAGTATATTTTCAAATAGTAATTTCTATTTAACTGAATGTAAAATTAAAAAAATACATTGACTATACATAATCCATGAATTATTAAAAACATATAAAAAATATATTTTAAAAGTCGAATCAAATACACTTCTTTGATTAGAAAAAATCATATTGAGAAAGCATTTCATTAGAAATGATCATGTTAAGAACTTATTCTAAATTTAGCTAATAAAAAATATCAAAATATCCCTCAATTAATCATCAAGTGGGAAACATTATTTACAAAGGACTATCTAGAAAATAAATCTCAATTAAAAAGAACCGCGTATGTAAATAAAACTTATTGAGAACTGATCTGAGATATACCTTATTAGAGAGGGCCATTTTGGAAATTCATTCTTTACAAAATGAGCTTTTAAATAAGGAGTATAGGTGTTTTATAAATAACTTTTGAAAATTATGTAGTTTTGGTATGCTTTTATACTAAATAAGATTAAATTATAGAGAAAATATCAAAATAGAATATCCATATTTTTATTCTCTTAATAGAAGTTTGCACAGTGGTAATTATATGGCATTGTATGTGAGCAATTTTCTATAATTTTTCGTAATGTATATGGTCATAATTGGTAATATATATATACACTTTGCGTCTTCTTTTCCCTTATTTCAAGAGTAAAAAAAAATATGAAACTCTGACTTTATTATATTTTCAATATTTTACTTGTATTTTTATTTTTTTTCATTTATATCCAAGGCACGTACGCTACACCCATGCTACTCTATTCAACCAACTAATGAAAAATGCTAGGGGTACATCAAAGGTGTACTCCAAATGTACACCACCCCCTCTAATGTCACATATATTGGCAAATATAATAAACAAAAAATAAATAAATAAAAATGAGTGGTAGAAAAATAGATGGTGTATATTTGGAGTACACTTTTGGTATACCCCTCCCTCATCAACTAATTAATGGAAAGGGTGTTGTGAGAGAGATACTACTCTCTCTTTTGGTATCTCCCTTTTTTCTCCGCAGAGCATGTCGAAAAGGGAGCTTTTATCGCGTAAAAAATAGAGATTTTAGAGTTTAAGTTTAATATTCATAATAATGGGCTCCAACAAGTCGTCCAATAAAAAGAGAAGTATTCATTTTTCATTTTACACATGCATGCTATATATAAATGATCAAAGGTTATCTGTTATAATAAAATATTCAAGGCTCGTTTGAAATCAATGTTAAAGATTAGCGTTAGCGTTTTGAAAAAAGTTATCTGAAGGTAATCATTAACGTTATCATTTTAAAGATTAATCTACAGCATTTAGATTTTATCCAAATATTAACGCTAATCAAAACCGATAATCTCGAACAAGGCCTAATAAAACTAAGAACGACAACAAATTGAGAGGAAAGAGAAATACTACCTTGGTTTCTATACCACACAAAACAAAGAGAGAAAAAAAGTAAAGCATATTAAACTTGTAAAAGGAAGACAGAGAGTAGTAGTTATGGTTGAAGCATATATGAAAATAAGAACATCCAAATCACTGTACATATTCTAAAATATGTTTATAGTTGTCCATTTTTAGCATCTCCATTGGAGATGCTGGCATGTTTGCGAATATCGTTTTCAAAGTAATCTGGACCGTTAAAATTTTAACCAAAACGCTAATGTTAATCTTTAATGTTATTTCCAAACAAGCCCGGCCGCTCTCAGTACGTTCCTCGTGATTAAAGAAAATATGGAGTTTAGTTTTATATTTTGATGTAGTCCGTATAATGTCTATTGAATTTAATTATTGAATTGGTATAAAATTTGAGAAAAAAAATTTAGCTATTTAAAATTAAACCAATTTTTAAAATAAGTGATAAAAATCTATTTTTATTTAATGAATAAGTAATATACATAAATTAAGAGGTTGATATAAGAATTCAACTAAAATAGAGTAAAACATAATCTTATTCCAAAAATAGGAAGTACATGTTCTTATTCTCAAAATAAAATTTTACACTATGAGAATATGACACTGTATATTAGTGCTTCACGTTGTTTTTTGGTATTATATGTTGACATTATTGACATTGTAATTTCTATTTTGGAGATAAAACATAAAGATCTTAGGTTGCGCTCCATTCGTCTGATCTGATTTGATTTTTTGAAATTCATGTCTAATCTAATTGGATCTGATCTGGTTTGGTCTGACCTAATCTGATTGGATATAAATTTGATTAAAATTAAAATTACTATTATAATTGTTGTAATAATAGTAATAATAATAATAATAATAGAAATAAAAATAATTATTTCATCTATTGTATTGTAAAATTTTTAACATAGTTTTATAAAAATATAAGTTTCATTTTTTATTTTATTACATAATACTCCCTCGGTTCCCAATTAGATTACAATTTTTTTCTCTCCTCTCGATAACTTTTATTTGTTTACGCAATTACATTAGATATTTGATAAAATAAAATATTCTTGTCAACTCTTATTTTGTACTCCCTCTGTCTCATTTTAAATTGTCTGTTTGACTTTTTTCTCTCTCCCAAAATAAGTTGTATGTTATTTGTTTTCGTAAACTTTTAAAAGTAAAATACCTAAACTACCCATAAAATTAGTCACTCTTCTCTGCCTTATCTTTTTATTCATCGTCATCCCTCTTAAAAAGTAATGGCAATTTCGTAAAATCAATTCTATTTTTTCGTTTTCTTAAATATGTCCAAAAGTCAAAACATGCAATTTAAAACGGGACGGAGGGAGTAGAACTTTTGACATAGTTTTTTAATATGTAATTTTTATTTCTTAACGATATACTAATTTGTAAATAAAATAATTTAAAAAAATAAAATATTTTTCCTCGTAAACCCAATTTGTAATTAAATTAAGGACGCATCGGATGGAGTAATAAAGAGGGTGTGTGTAATAAGAAAGTTGGGCATATAAATAATTAAATACACATTGTTGGGTGGTGGTCTCTAGATTCGTGCAACTGAACAGAGCCCCATCATCTAATTTGATACTCCCTGCATCCCAAATTTCATTATAAATTGAGGGTTACGGAGTAAAATTTTCTACTTTTTGAAATCATTTTATTTACAAATTGGTATATCAATAAGATATAAAAATTACATATTAAAATACTACGTCAAAAGTTCTATAAAACAAAGGCTGACAAGAATATTTTATTTTATCAAATACTTAATGAAATCACGTAAACAAACAAAATTTATTGAGAAGAGAGAAAAAAACGTTATAATCTATTTAGGGACGGATAGAGTAAAATATGATCTAGTTTTTAATAAAGTTTGATTATGATTATATTTTGAACTATTTTCGTTGGCCAAATTTATTTTTATCCCAATAGGTATAAAGAGTATAGGACAAGTATTTAGAACAAATGCAAGAGAACAAGCTCAAAAAAACCTAATTTTAGGGAACATTTGGTGAGCCTAGAGGTTAAAGTTAAACGTAAAATTTTATCTCAAGACCGATACCAAATAGAACGGTAAAAAAAGGAGTTAAGCTAATTTGATTACCTAAATGATTCAATTCTTCATTCAATTATATACATCCAACAAAGAAGAATTACACTGAAGGAATTGTTAAACTATCCATATATAAATAATGATCGATAAGAGCCCCAAAAAGGCAATTATTTTGTTGCCTTATTATGCTTAGGGTCCATATATTATATTATCTGCCCATAGTGCTATACACATTGAAAAGGAAAACTCAATTTTAACTTGGCATTGGTGACCCACAAACAGCAAAACATGAGAAACCAATAGCCCTAAAGTCATTGACCAATAAACCTTCCTTCCTCTCCCTCTAATTCACTACACACATCTTGTCCTAGGACACCCTCATGACCCTACACAAAACTCTAAAGACCCATTTTGTCATTTTCTTCCTGATTTCCCTACAACACAAACAAAGCCCCCAATGATGTACTACTGCTGACCTCCAAAGTCCCACAAATGAAGGGTACCATCCCTAGACCAGCCAGCCAAATGCCTCTCATCCGAAACCAGCAAATTAACGTCCAAATTCCTCTCCCGCAAACTCCGCAGGTAAACCCCGACTTCGTCCCGCTCGATGTCCCAAACCCGAATCACACCCGAGGCGGCCGTCACCGCGAAACCGCCGTTCATGCACCCCACAACACCCCCTTGCGACGCGCCGCGCACACTGAACCAACACCTTTGACTCAGGTCCGCGGCGCGGCAGACGCTCGCCGCGCCGCGGTCATCCACAGCGAGGAACGAGTCGTTACGGGCGTCGAATGCCCCGACGACTAGTCCCCGGGGGAATCGGTCTTCTTCCCCGATGACGACTCCTTGGTTTGCAAGGTCGAAGACGATGATTCGGAGGCTCGTGCATGCCACGGCCGAGTCGTGGCTCGTTACCCTGACTCGGCCGACCAGGTCGGTCAGCTCGGTCAGAAGATGCCACCCCATTACCGCCTCCGGATCGCTTAGGTTTCCGCCTACGAACACGAGTTCTTCCCTGGCGGCGTTCCATATGTGAAACGCCCTTCCTGGCACTCCTGAAATAATACGCAGAAGAAATTACTTAAATAGCACCAAAACATAAAGATTTTTCCTAAATAGTACCACATGTGTTTTTCTTCCCAATGAAGCACTTTTAGTTGTTATGCATTAGTCATTATTCAAGTAAATATTCGTCATCACTGGACATTATTAGGTACTATTTAGGGAATAAAACAATTTAAGTGCTATTTAAAAAAATGACTTTAAGTTTTAGTGATATTTAGTGCAAATATTTCATTATATGTATATAAATTAAAAATGTTTACACTAAATAGCACTAAAACTTAAAGTCATTTCAAATAAATAACCAACATTAATAATACAAATAATGAAATAATTACAAACCAAATTACTAACAATTAGTGAGCAATATAATTAACACACCTGCATAGAGTCCAACCCACCACCGGTCATTGCCGGCGAAGTCAACCAAAGCACCGTCGTTGACCACGTCGCCGAGATGAGCTCTACGCGGCGGCAAAGATCCCCCGACGGTGACCACATGAACATCGCCGTCGAGAGACGCAAAGACAAGGCGGGCATCCGTCAAAATAATCCCCGACACGGCGCTGGAAAACCGGCCGAGGCGGTCGCGGTGGTGAGGGTGGAAGGTGGAGAGGTGGAGCCTGGAGGGGATGTAGAACAGGAGGACCGAGCCGTCCGAGAATCCGGCGGCCAGGTGGTGGTCGGAGAGCGTGAGGCGGCGGCACGAGAGCCCGTCGGCGGCGTTCTCGGCGGCGTTGGGAGGCACGAAATGGAGGGTGCTGTACACGTAACGGCCCATCCTGAAATTGGCGGCGGCTTGATGCCAAAAGATGTATTCGTCCCGCCACGTGTGGCGGAGTAAGTGGTGGCGATTCCATACCCGGGCGGTGAGGTTGAGCCATAGAAGAGGGGACCGAGACACGGCTTGCCACGTGGAACAAACCTGCATCGTAGCCGTCCATTCAGATTAATTTGCTAACTGAAATTAAGTTCATAAAATTATCATAAATTCAATGATCGTTGAGAAATATTATTGGTTAAAGAACTGACAAGAAGTTACAATAATTTGTTCACCCAACTCATAAAAATAAGAAAAAATTTACACTAAATAGCACTAAACTTAATCATTTCTATAAATATCACTTAAATTATTTTATTTCCTAAATAATATTTAATAATGTCTATAATAACTAGTGATGACAAATATTTACTTGAATAATGACTAAAAGTGTTACATTTAGAAAAAACACATGCAGTGCTATTTAGATAAAAGTCATTATGCTTTAGGGCTATTTACGTTAATTTCTCTAAAAATAAAGGATGCAAACATTTTTTATTTACCGAAAGTTTACAATAATTCACTTTACATCAATCTCGATCAAACATTTTTACATACAAAAATTTTAGTTTGAGACAAGAAGAGTAACATTCTATTCGTGTATTACAAATTATTACAACGAAATAAACTTTTGAAACCTTCTCAACATATAAATCTAATAAAAATATACTTATAATAATACACATTACTTTTTTTTATTTAATACTCACTCCGTTCCACAAAATCCTTCTCCTTTCGTTTTTTTGAATTTCCTAAAACACTTTCACTTTCTATTAAAAACCATTTTTACTCTTACTTTTTCATACTCTACCTATCACATCATACTTTTTCTCTAATAACCAAACTATCACATCTTACTTTTACCCATCACATCAGAGGCAAAATTAGACAGTCAACCAAAATTACATTTTCTTTATTTTGCCAAAAGTCAAAAGTGGAAGGATTTAAAGAAACGTAGGGAATATTTCTACTGGTCCTAAAAGTCTATCTTGATTTGACTTTTTTTAGTCAAAGAGTGATACTCTTTAATCACAAATTACACATAATCTAAATAAATAATTGATACGGAGTATATAAAAATTTGACATATCGAAACTATAACTCCATTATAATAAATTTATATTATAGTTAAATGCATTTTTTCATTATATGTGATCAAAGTATGTCACAGTTTCCCAAAAAAAAACAAACATTGGTTAAAACTAATTCAATTTGAGTTCAAAAAACAAACAAATAGCCTGAGACGAAGTACTCCACCGTAGTCCTTAATAAATAAAGAGGGCACGAGGAGAGGATATTGGGACAAGAAAAGCAGCGAGCTGTCAAATATAGATATAGAGGCAGTAAATGGAAGCAGCCCTAAAAGAGTAGGGTATGTGTCCTATATGAACAGAAGAAGATAGGTGTTATATATATCCCGCATGCATGGGGTATAGTGTAAGTACATATATTATAGCTAGTAGGAATACAGCAATTGTCATCATAACAACATAAAATAGGTCATACATAGCTAGTCTACTCCTTGTTACATAAACAAAAAAAAAAAGTACAAAAAATAGTGTGTGGTTAGTACCTATTCCCTCCCTCCTATAATGTTCTTCATTTCCGGTTATGTTTGGGAAGTTTAACCGACTTTATTTTTAATTTAATTTATTTGATTGTAGGTGTAAAATTTAAAAATAAAATTTAAATATTTAAAAACTACATCAAAAGTTCTACAAAACAAGTGGTGACAAGACTATATTATTTTATCAAATACCTAATGAAAATAGGTAAAGAAAGTGATTAAAATTTGGCCATGTGAATAGTAAGTGGGAAGAACATTTCAGGACCGATAGAGTATCTATCTACCTCCTTCAATATTCATTCAACGCTTCTTTCAAACATAAAATATTCAATGCCAAGCCCATATACCATACATTCAGACGTGCATTTTGGAGTGAAGGACTCGTTTTGGAGTAATTGAATACTCATTTACGAGTATAACTGAATTTATTCAATAAAAATATAAATTTATGAAAAAAATTATATATTTAAAATTATATAAGAAATCTACGATACTACAAAGGATGTTATGAATACTCGAGGGTATTAAATAACTAATGAAATTTAATAAGGAGTGAGAAAATGAATGATATATGAGATGATCCGAGTCTGTTACGGTGAAATTTCCATTACACTGGAATCCTATGTCATGAGATGACACAAGTCCGATCCGGTGCCCGGAGTTCACATTTGTTAATTTGTCTTTAAAAAGTTTTACATTCTTCTCCTACAACAATAGTTTCATTATGATAATAAACTTATAAAGCAATTTCAAAATATGTTTTTTTCTGATTAATTGACAACATAATATTTACTCTTTCTATCCCTAAATGATTTATACACTTCACTATTCCAGAATCACCGGGACTTTTGTTCCTTTATGTGTTTTCATTGACTATTTGAAAAAATAAAATATTCATTCGATTGACTCTTTTGTTCAGTGACTATTTGATAAAATGAAAATCGCAGAAACTTTAATTCGTTTTGACTATGATACGTGGAAAAATACACTGTATTAGGACATAACTTTAATATGAATATATTCATTTTAAGATATAGTTTTCAAATATCAAATTTTTATAAAATATATTCATGTATAAATAAAGACATTAGTGATCAAAGTGTAATCTTAGAAATCGTAAAAAGTCTAATGAAAAGAATATTTCAAGACGGACATCTTTCTTTGATTGACTGCATAAATAAAGATTAAAGTGGAGGATCGGAGTACACAATAGTTAGGATGTGGATAGAGTAGATGAGAACAGTTATTATACGACAACACAAGACTCCACATTGTATTATCACATTTACAATCTTCTTTTTCTCATGCAAAATCTCAATGTATCTCCTACAAATCTGATCCCCCATTATTTTGTCCCTTAATTAATTAATTAATTACTCGACCACTCCATTTTCTACATTCTTAATTCTTCTTATTGCTGACATTGTGAAATGTCATAAATTTGACATCACGCCAAATTGACATGGTGCATTATTATTATTATTAGACCTGATGATCTAGGTGCGGGTCGAGCCGAGAAGCGATGTTACAAGAATTTTCTAGGCCTAAACCTGTCCCACATCTGTACTTACGGGCTTCGGGTTGGCCTGGCCCGCGGGGATAGAGCTTTTTAATTGGAATTAAAATAAAAACGTTAATATACTCCCTCCGTGCCAAATTATTTGCAACGTCTGCTTTTTCACTAGTCGCGGGAAATTTTGTTTATTTCTACGTTTTCATTGGGTTATTTGATAAAATAAAATATTCTTGACACCTCTTATTTCGAAGAACTTTTCATGTAGTTTTGTGATATGTAAATTTTATTTTTTATGTCTATACCAATACGTAAATAAAATGAATTGAAAAAACCTGATATTTTACCCCAAGAATATAAGTGTGACAAATATTTAGGCTCTTTTTTTAATGCCTCAAAACCCCAACCATGCCGCTCCGTATTTATTACAGTATTACTGTATTCTGAATCTTCTCCTTTTCAGCATCTCTTTACAAATATCTCGTCCGTACAGTACATTACCTGCCGTCAATCGGCATGCTTATGCTCCCACTGTCTTCTTCTTTAATTCCCGATTTGACTTAACCAATTTTTTTTAAAGAGAGTTTTAAATGCTTTCCCTTCTTCCCTCTCAAAATACTTTATCATCTCTATTAGAGTCAAAATAAAATGAGATTTCAAGTTTTTAAACTAATTTATTTAAACATTAATAATAAAAATTACTTGGGTACAAATTTATACATTGCATTAAAAATTATACAAATTAAAAAAATAAGACTTAATTTTAACAATACTTGGGGGTGCAATTGATGTATGTGGGGGAATGAGTTGGGATCGGGACTAGGCAGGAAGATTAGGAGAGAGATGAATCATCAATTTTACAAAGCATTGTAGTAGAGGGACAGTGGCCACAGAACCCTGCCTATTTTTCATTACTCACTTTATCCTAGATTATAGTTTATGTTTTCTATTTACAGCGTCAAACTTTATTTATTTCATTTGACTATTCTCACTACATATTTAATTAATTAAAACGACATAGTTATCTCAACTTTTGTTTCAAAAAAATAATGGCATCATACTATTTCTAGCTTTATAAAACCTTAGTGTAAAAATAACAAATAATGCTTTGTAGCTTGAATGAATAGAAGAGGAATACAAAGTATGTATTTATAGGTGGAGGAATATATTCTAGAATCCTCCACATTAATGACTAATTATATAAGGTAATATTATATAATAATAACTCTAACTATAATAGGTAACAACCATAATTATAATATATAATATTAAATATATTAAATAATTGATATATTTAACATGCTCTCAACGTCCTGAACGGTGAAAATTGAACGCCAACTTTACTTGAATCGTGACCATAATTGTAATCAAAAGCTAGAGGCATATCTTCGGCTAGAGTAGACTGAATGCATCCGGCCTAAAAGAGAAGAAGAAGAAAGATTGTCAGGAAAGAGATGTGAAGGTGTTGATGAGGAGAGGAGAAAAGCCGCTGCGAACAGACTCATGCTGCTGACGTCGAAAGAGAGAGAAGGTTGACGCGCGCTAGAGTTGTGCGCGACTGGGTTAGAGAAGAAACACAAGGAATGAGGTACTGCCAGAGATGCATGTTGACCGAAGATCTACCCACTAAGCAGGTTGAGGTGAATGATCTTGGCGCCAATAGTTTGGTGGAGTAGGTGTCGCCGGTCAGAGCTGCGGCGCTTAGGAGAAGAGGATGGCGTTAGAGATGCTGGTGATTATAACAGAGTTTTTTTGTATAACAAAAAAACTAGAAAACTTTGTTGTTTTAGGAGATGGTGAAGAATTTGGGTCAGAGGAAAACAGTGGTCCGGCGGGCGGCAGTTAATGGCGGTGCCGCCCGCCAGAAGCGAAAGCGGAGAAATTTAGGTCACCAAGAACGGTGGCTCTGATACCATGTAAAAATAACAAATAATGCTTTATAGCTTGAATGAATAGAAGAGGAATACAAAGTATGTATTTATAGGTGGAGGAATATATTCTAGAATCCTCCACATTAATGACTAA